TACAGTTATTGCACCTGTTTCAGGTGGGCGAAACCACTTGGAGAAAGAAGAGGGGGTGTCGTTAGAGATCTAGGGCAAATCCAGATTGAAAGTTACCAGTAGCCTCCGTAGCAGCCTCCCTGCGCCAATTGAATGTTTCAAAATATTTTTAAATATTTGAAATTTGGGTGTGAACGGGAGGTTTAGCCATGTGGGTCAAATTTGACTCAAATTTAACTCAATTTCGATTCACGTAGAAAGGTAGACGTGCCCAAATATTTTTAAATATTTTGACGTTTAAAATACATTCGGGTGTGGACGGGAGGTTTAGCCATGTGGAGGTTCAGCCATGTGGGTCAAATTTGACTCAAATTTAACTCAAATTCGATTCACGTAGAAAGGTAGACGTGCCCAAATATTTTTAAATATTTTGACGTTTAAAAAACATTCGGGTGTGAACGGGAGGTTTAGCCATGTGGAGTTTCAGCCATGTGGGTCAAATTTGACTCAAATTTAACTCAAATTCGATTCACGTAGAAAGGTCGACGTGCCTTAAAAGCTGGTCAGACTGCTCCCGAACTTCAGTTACTTAGTTGGTAGGTGGTCGGGGGAAAGTCCTGTTTGTGTGACAGGAGTTGTACAGCTGTTCGGTCCGTCCGTCCCTGTTTATAGTTCTCGCCGGAGGCTCTCCAGTATTTACCCACTCTAACCCGGGCGTCACCGCGTTTGTTGGGACAAATCAAGACAAACAACGGCACCAAAAGTGCACAAACAGTAACCAGCCGGGAGAGTTGCCGGGCACTCATGGCGGCCTCCGAACAACCACGAAACACGACTCGGGCTTTGTTCGGGAATATTCGTGATTTATGGCCGAAGTGCAGCGTTTTTAAGGGCGTAATTTACTGGCGATTAATTTTACGACCTGGCGGCATGGCTCCGCCGGATTGTACTGATAAAACGGGCCTGTAAATGTTTTAGATAGTTTTAAATGGCTACAAGTTTCTAATTATGGTTAATGTAGAACATTTTAGGAACTGGAAGGATCTGTGACTGCGATAGATCTTTGAATCGAAGCACGGGTACAAACAATAGGGATAAAGACAAAGTTTTAAAACAGAAAGCATATCCACATACATGTAGAACGATTTTAAGTGCAATACTCCAATAAAGTATGTTCACAGGTACGGTACCCATGTATATTTGTGTAATATTCTACCCAAACTACAACTGTTGGTGTGATAAGACGTTAAACATTGCCCGTGTGATGGGCCCTTAAATGTCATAGATCATACATTAAGATATCGTCTAGCAAACATGTTGTACAAGTCTGAATGTCTAACCCAGTTCAAAACGCCGTAGGGGATAGTCTATGTAAAGTCTATGTTGTCTACCGCATACTGAGATTTCTAAGTATTAGTAGATATACATACACAGTTGTACATACTCACTACTTACCATGTTACGGTACATACATGTAGTAGGACGGATACGGGAAATATTAGTACAATGTACATGTTTGTAGTCTTAGTGTAGGCAAGATCCATAAACACGTGTATACATGACTAACAACAAGTAAACCTACAAACGTACATACCTTTAATATATGTAGCCAATGTTCCAGTGTGGTTGAAGCTTTTACCAACCAAGAATGGACATGTACACTCTATGTATACGGTACAAACATTGTGATCTATTAAATAGTTCGAATACAGAGTAGCAAGATTAGTACGTATGCAAGATTCCAGTGTAGTCAAAGCTACATAGACACGTGTATACATGGCCTAACAAAAGGTAACCTACAAACGTACCTTACATGTAGCCAGCGTCCAGTGTGGTTAAAGCTTTTACACACAACATATCAGTAGTACCACCAACGGTGAGCTAGCAAACCTGGAACTGAACAGGGCACGCCGTGAAACGCGTCCTCGCACATTTGTCATCATCGGTACAGCTCCAGTGTTTGCCGAGTTTCCCGTCCGGCTTTCACGGGTACAAAGGTCAGATTGTTCCCTCTCAGAAGTTACATCAATCCTTGTCACATGGTTCAACCTGTGGAACAGGGACCATGGCACAAGGCATTATCCATTTAGCCTTTACCAGGCACCGCGGATCGCTGGAAAAATAGTAGAAATTGGCCGAAGAAAAAATATACCAGGGGAGGTAGCGAATTAGATCTTCTCTGTCCGGCTACCTCCCCTGGTACTAGTATATTATTCCTTTATTTCGGCCAATTTCTACTATTTTTCGAGCGATCCACGGTGCCTGGTAGAGGCTAGTATCCATTGGCCATTGGCCAGAGGAGTGTCCATTAGCCACCAAAGGCTAATGACCAATTGATACTGCCTTGCCACCGTATGATCTGTTTGGAGATTAGGGGAGGGCCGGGATCGATGGATTAATTTAATATCATAATTATAGCTTGATAATTCAGTATAGGATAGGTATTGTAATGTCCAACGATTCTAGGATACTGTTGTACACTATATACGTAACTACATGTATGAAGTAGGAGATGAGACTATGATAGTGAATATCTAATACTTAAAAGTGAAAGACAGTTTCCCAATACGTGTATACGGGATACACTGTGTGCTATATTGTAGGGGATGCTAAATTGTTGGTTTTACGTATGTGATGTCTCAACCGACGGTTAAACTTCCCCCCCCCCCCC